TTTTTTCTCTTATCTTTTCGTTTCGCTCGAGTCTGGCGAACAGAGCCAGACATTAAACCCGACGTCTCGCGCTTTTTTTTGAGATGAGACGAGAACAATTTTGATAATGAAGTTTAAGACATCCGTGAGCGAAACAAGCTCTGATTCACGAGCTGCGATGTTCATTATCACGTTAATCGCCGATCGCAGATCGGACAGGTTTCTTTGCGGAGCCACGAATCCAGGCTTCCAGGCGTTCTTTCTTCATGTTATTATGTTTCTTTATTCTTTTCGTTAAATTTATGACATGGACGCACTCTTCGGTGTCAGCTCGTCAAATTAGAAGTTTCTATCCAATTCCTCGAGTATAGCACTTAGAGGCACCTAAACTCCATAATCACAATACGTCGCAAATAGCTATTATATATGTTTTTTTTTTTTTTTGAACAATGTAATATTTTAACAGTATTGTTTTTATGAATAATGTAATATATTTATAAAAATATATATTTTTATAAATAATATAATTATGACTTCTTCAAAGTAATTCAGAAATTTACTTTTATTCCTAAGATTATCGTTATTTGTTTCATTTAAAAATGACTTACTTATTAAGAACACATTTCCCTATCGTTACATTTTTCCTTGCATGCAAATTTCAAGATAAGATCGTCCCCCAATGGAAAGTTGCCTGTCACTGAAATATGGATGACGCGGCGATCAATTACGCGGTGTTAAATTGTAGAAAAGTCATTACAATTGCGATAGAAGTGCAAGGAAAACAGATTTCGTACTTGCAAGAACTTTAAATTGATAATAATATTAATTATAATATTAATATTAATATTATAAATATTAATTATAATACTAATATTAATATTATAATTAATATTATTATCAATTTAAAGTTCTTGCAAGTACGAAATCTGTTTTCTTTGCACTTCTATCGCAATTAATATTAATTATACTATATTATTTATATAATATATATATTATTAATATTAATATTGTATAAATGATAATAATCTCTTGATGTGTGCAAACATTCTGTTAGAGGAATCACGATAGTTGATATCGATAGCGATATATATTTATATAGTATAGTGTAAAATACGATATACTATATATATTCTATATCGCTATATATATATATATATTGTTATATTTTGCGATTGCAAATTGCGAAACGTCCGCGTTATAGTGGAAAGAATTCACCGATGACCGTTAACCTCGGTGGTTTCCGGACTACTGACAACACTCAAACGACTATGTGTGTCCAACTATCAAGAGATAAAACCACCGTTGCGTTCCAACGCCAATAATTGCTTGTTCAAAAGTTATTCTCTCGATTTTGGAAAATTTTCCCTCGAGAATGCTTTGCTCGGTAATTTTCTGAGATGGAAAGAGAATTTGATCGACGTTATCGCTAGACGTTGTCATTGTTTGACGTTGAGCGATGATTCTATTCAATCGAAACTTTCAATAAATCTTCAAACTTGTCCGATCAAAGATCGTAATTTTCTTTGGAGAAATATTCCAAAAATAACGCTGTTTAGCTGTTTCCTTTTGATATTTCTAAATAGCCTTTGCAAGTTCAGTTTAATTTAAATGTCGTACTTTACTTTAGATAATCCCGAGGTATGTTATTTTCTATGAGCACACGTACACACACAGATAAAGAATATTTGTCGTGACAAACACCACAAAGACGATAAGCGGTTTTGTTCGTCGAATTTTTCGTAATCAGTGTTGCATGCAAAGGGGAAAAAAAAAAAAAAAAAACTGAAACCAATCTTGAAGACGCCACAATGCAAACGAGTTGTTATTCCAACTATTATTATTTTCACAAGTGAGAAACGAAATTATGTAGAAGTTTTAACGAAGAATTGCTTATTAGAAATTATCTACAAGTATTAATTGAAGAATTGCGTGAAAACAAGATTAAGACGAAATCTGAAGAAAATCTATTGACGTTACGTACTTTCTTTCTGCGCTCTATAAACCCACGTTGCATCCTAAATGATGGTGACGTACTCGAAGATAACTTTTTAAATAACTTGACAGTCGTGAAATAGAAATTGGTAATCAATCAACAATTAATTGACGCACGTCCGAGTGCGTAATAAATGGTAACAAGATTTTTCGTCATTCGCTTTATTGATACAAAATCTCAACATTCACTTTATTAATAGAAAATTGCTAAAACGGTGAGTTTCGAACAGTTCGAACAATTTGTTCCAGCACAATCGAAACGAGAATACCTCGGTGTCAGCGAGGAAGTGAGGATTTCGAGTTCAGGCTTGCACAGGGTCGCAGAAATGAATCACAGATTATACACACACCGAGACACGTGTGCATCGAGATGTGCATACAAAAGCCAAGTCGATCTGACAGATGACATTATTCTTGAGACGTGATCGGGACACGTGGTTAGAATGAATGTCGCCGTTTTCGACGGAGCGTTCATCAATTTCTACCGTCTCAATAATAACGTTGCGTCGATGATTTTGTCCAGTTTTGTCACAGTTAGAAGAGTTAGAAGTTCGCGAATTACGAGTCACGTGTTAATACGTGTAATTCGCAATGGAGTCAGTATAGTATATAGTATTTTACAGTATAGTATAGTATTTTATACTATGTAGTATATATAGAATATTGTATTTTACACTATTATAGAATATGGTATTATACTATATATATAGTATAGTATATAAATACTATATACTATAGTATATAGTGTAAAATACTACATAGTATATGGTATCTTATAGTGTAGTATATAGTATAATATTTAATGCTATATAGAATATATATAGTGTATCGTATTTTACACTATACTATATATATAGTATAATATATAAGTACAACATACTATAGTATATAGTGTAAAATACTACATAGTATATGGTATTTTATAGTATAGTATGTAGTATAGTACTTTATACTACATAATATATATATAGTATATCGTATTTTACACTATACTATATGTATGGTATAATATACAAATGCTATATACTATAGTATATAGTATAAAATACTATATACTATATAATATATGGTACTTTATAGTATAGTATGTAGTGTAGTATTTTATACTATATAGTATGTATAGTATATCGTATTTTACACTATACTATATATATAGCATAACATATAAATACTGTATACTATAATATATAGTGTAAAATACTACACAGTATATAGTATTTTATAGTATATTGTAGTATATAGTATTTTATACTATATTGTAGCACATAGAATTTTATAGTACAGTATATAGTATTTTCTAGTATATAGTATAGCATATAGTATTTTATATTGAATAGAAGATTCTAGGAAGTAAATGCATTCCGCGATAATACAATTACTCAGAGTACGTGTTTTATTACTCGCTAAATTTGCTTAACTTAATCTATTAGAAGAAATTAGCGTTAACACGTCCAAGGTCAGTATGGTCAATCAATCCACTTTTCCCCTCTAGAGGTTTAAATCGACGTAGGCGAGTTACATACATACCGAGAGAGCAATTCATCCAGCCCGGCACGCATAAATTGTGCCATCTTGCGTGTCTCGTGATTCTGCTTTTCGTATCGAGTTAGTTTTCGTATTGTCAGTATTAACCCCTTAAGTGGAAATGACGAGTCTCGTCCGCATACATTTTCTGTGCCAAACTCACCAAATTCCTTTTAATTTTATTATAAAAAATAAATTTTATTGTAAAAAATAAGTTATATACTTTATAATTTAATTTGTGAAAAAAAATTTTTAGAAATTCTTTCTTCCTTCTTCTCTCTCTAAAATCTTCTCATTGAAAATAACGATACTAGGCGTTTTAAGGAAGAAAACAGTAATTCATCCTTATTCGATTATTCTGCGAGTTTAGAGTACTGAAGTTTTTTTAGCAGTGAAACAGTTATTGCGTTTAAATAATTCGAAAGAACATTTCAAGAATATTAATTAGATGCAGTTATTATGAAAAATAAGTAAAATTGAAAAGGAATTTAGATACTTTGTTAATTCTATTCATAATAATTTTTATTTTATCAGGAAACATGTTTCGTTTTCTAAATTTCGTTGTTACTCGAAGAGAATAGCTTTCAACTTTTTTTTTTTTCATTACTGTCATTACTTTGTAAATCTGTTCTATCACAAATAAATAGTGTCCATATTTTTTTTAAATGTATTCAATAAAAACTGAAATATTTTAGTTTTATTTTTATCAATTCTATTCATAATAATTTTCATTTTATCAGGGAACATGTTTCTTTTTCTTAATTTCATTGTTACTCAAAGAGAATAACTTTCAACTTTTTTTTTTCATTACTTTGTAAATCTGTTCTATCACAAATAAAATAGTGCCCATATTGTTTAAAATGTATTCAATAAAAACTGAAATATTTTAGTCATATTTTGCAATAACTCCACGCACAGAGTTGCGCGTTTC